GTGTGTGTGTGTGTGTGTGTGTGTGTGTGTGTGTGTGAATGGAGGCCCAAGATTAATATCAGATGTCTCACTCTGTTGCTGTCCATCTTATCTTTTGAGACAGGGTATCTCACTGAACCTTGAACTCACTAGTTTGACTAGATTTTCCATTAGCAAGTGCTAGGGATCCTCTTGTCTTTGCCTGCCTAGTGCTGGGATTATACACGTGGGCTCCCATGCTGGGCTTTTTCTGATGTGGGTGCCTGGGGATCTAAATCCAGGTTTCCATGCTGGTGTGGCAAGCACTTTACTTGCTGAACCACTTCTCAGCTGCTACTGCTATTCTTGTAATGGAATCAACACTCTTTATAAGCCCTGCGGCATCTTGGCTCCTGTTTCCTTTTCTGACCTCTTCTTAAACTACTCATTCAAACCACAAATCTTTAACCCCATGATGATTCTGTTGATTTTCTGTGATGCCAAGATTTTCTCAACTCTGAGACCTCTGATCCCAAATTAATTAAATCATTTTACCATCTCTTTCCCATCTTTTAGTTCCTGCAAAAATATTACCCCAGAGCTGCCCTTTAATCACCCCTTGTAAATTAGTCCCTTAATATGCTTCTCTCTATGGTCCTGTCTTTTTCCTCTTTAACGCTTACCAAAATTTCTACTTAATTTGTCTTATCAGTTAATCGTTCTTTCCAAATAGCCTTAAAGCTCAAGTGTAAGAATTGTACCAGGTGGTCTTTTTCTGGTTCCCACTCTGTATCCACTGCCTGGCACAACCTGGACACTAGATTGATACTCGACGAGTAGATGAGCCAACCTTACATGAAATTTCCTTATCCCTTTTCACCCCATATCAAGTTCTAGCCATACTGAGTCACGTTCTGAACTTGTTCTTTTCTGACAAGTTCTTTTCATCTGGACATCATCCCCTTCTTTCACTTAGCCAACTTCTCCTTATGTTTCAGTACCTCCTCAATCATAAGTTCTGTTCTCTGCAAAACTTTTACCCAGTGCCTGCAGGAATTCAGCCAGTCTTCCCATTCTCTGCTGGTACTTTGATCACATTTCTTCAGTGATGCTGACTGCAAATTTGTCTTCCTGCAACGAGGGTAGCAGAACTTAGATCTCTGTATCCTCAGCACTCACACAGGTCTAGAACATGGCAGGTAGTAGTTATAGGCGTTTAAGGGACAAAACCAACTGGGTGTTAGCAGAGTTAAGTACTAAGTAGGTGGCACTAATTTGATGCTTTGTGATCTCAGCAAGGATTGGATAAAAGGTTTCAGGGAGCAACTCTTGCGATAGTCTTCATAGGCTTAATTAAATATAAAAATGTGAGGGACATTTGCTCCGGAGAGGAAGAACACAAGGGATGAGACTGCTCATGGCTTGGCTGAGAGATGGTTGGGGAGAACAGCGAGAGCTATTTTTCAAGCTATAGCAAAATACAAGAATTAGAGGTGTAGTTCATAACCTCAGTTTTCCCAACCGAGTAAACGACCTTAAACATTTTCCACTTGCCTCTTAAGAGGCCACAATAGAAGAAAAGGCTGGGTAAGCATTTTCCAGACCTCTATGACCATCCTA